GTGATGGTGGTATTGGTTGGTGGAAAAGAGCTTATAATATACATAGTTGCCCTCTTTTTTTTTTCTGTTTTGTTTTTGTTGTTGCTTTGTTTATTTTGTGTTGAAACTTTTTTTCAAAAGTTTTATTCCTCTGCTTTTTCTTTCTCTTTTTTTTTCTTGCTTTTGCTTCTGTTTCTACTCTGTTTTGCCCCCGGTGCTCATTTCAGTTTTGGCTGTATTCTTGTTTCATATTTCTTTTTCTTTTTCCTTTCTTTTTTCTTTTTATTTTTTCGTTGTTGTTATTGTTGTTATTGTTGTTGTTGTTGTTTTCTGTTGATAATGGTAGTGGTGTAGTGATGTGGTAGTGTAGTGTGGTGTGGTGTGGTGTTGTGTGGTGTGGTGATGATGATGGTGATGGTGGTGGTTGTGGTAGCGGATAGGAGTGGTGGCAGAAAAAAAATTGGGGCTATGATTGATTGCATTTTTGCTTTTTTGCAATAAAAGCGGCAACAACAGCAACAACACTGAAATCTTTTTGATTAGGAATCAGTTTGTTTTTTTTTTTCCCGTTGTTTCTCTGGCATTTTGATTTAAAGTCGAAAAAATTTCATTTTTTTTTTTGTCCTTTTCTCTTACAGCCTTTTGTTTTTGTTTTATTGTTTATTTATTTTTAAAAAAAAATTTTTTAACTAACCAAAAGGAACAGAACAAATTGCAGAGTGTGGATGAGAAGAGGGGAAAAATGAAGGGAGAAAAAGCAAAAATTAAATGATAATAGTAAGTTAGTTGAAGTATATTGTAGGCTATATTGATGATCCGACTTTAGCAAACTTTTTTTTTTGTCTAAACATCAGCTGTGTACTAAGCAAGAGAAAAACAAAAAATGTATATATATATATATATATATGGGGCAAAAATTGTAGAAATTTGTCTGAAAAGGAACTATGAAAGTATGTGAAATTGTGTAGAAAAATGCAACAACAACAACAACAACAGTAGCAAAAAGAAGCAAAACAAGTACAAAGAAAAAGCACATTTACGGAACAACGATGTCCCGATAACAGCGACGATGATGATGATGATGATGATGAGCACTTTTTCTTAATTAAAAGTTACTTTTTCAACAGCTTCTTGATTTATGTTAATTGTCTTCTGTTTTATGTACTTTCTTCTGTCTTGTCCTTTTAGAATTTAACGTACAACAGAAAAAAAAAAGAACTTTTTTTCCTTTACTGTTATTATTATTATTATTATTATGTTACATTGAAAAATATGACCTGAGCAAATGCTAATAGTAGATGAGTGCATGTATTTGTATTGGTCATCAAAGTGAAATATTCTGTTTCTTTCTTTCTTTAATTTTTCTTTTTTGAAGGGGTTGGCAAAAGAGAAGAAGTGAAACCGAAAAATTTCTCTTCTGGTATGCAAACTTCCTTAAAACTGTAGCTCGGTCTTGAAATTTTAAGCGAACAACCATTTTTTTAAGGTCAATAATTACAGTAGAGACAAAATAGCCATCTGTTTTGTAGCAACGTTCGGGCAGTCTGTTGACGAAAATGGTTGAATTTTGTTGTGCAACTGTTGACAGGAATAGGAATATCAGCAAATAAATGAAATTGGAAAGGTTCAGAAGAATGGAGGGGGGGGGGGTAGTTTTTTGTTGATCTTGGTTTTTTCCTATTCTTTTTGTTTAAAAAAATCTTTTAAAGACTTTAGCCAGCATTATGTTATGGTGATTTATTGAATTCAATACTGTTTTCCTGTTGTCATCGATGGTTTTTGTAGAATATAAAGAGCAAAAAAAAAAGCAAAGTATTGTTTTTTTTCGCAAAACCGTTGGTGGTATCATTATTTGAAGTTATTAAACTAAAACCAATATCAAATGTAGTGGTTAATATTAAGTAAAAAGATGAAAAGTGCGAGGGGAAAGGAATAAAATGTCATGTATTTAATAGGAAATGGATTTTTTTTTTATTTTGCGAAAGATAGAATAACTGCTGGGAAGGGGAATGAATGGCTTACTTTTGATAAATAAACAAATACATTTGTTTTAATCAACGTCTCTTTTTTTTTTTTTTTTTTTTTTT